CATCTTTAACTTGAAATATCTCTAAAAATGATCAACTAGGAAAAAGCCTATTTCATCTTAAATAGAATATTGTTCCTCTCCTTACCAGGTGAAGTTTGGCGTTCGCATTCATTTCGCGAACGTTGAACGGCTCGTGGGATATAAATGCTGAGATGCGTTTCTGTTGGAGCAGGTTCTCATCAGATAGCGGTATAGAAACTATCTGGGATAGCCCTGCACTGATGAGAGCCAACAGCTCGAAACCGGTCTGCAGGTAGTCACGCGTTCCTGAACCACTTAGGCGCAGCTCGGCGTTTAGGAAAGAAACATGTAACGTTTTTATTTTCTAATATAACTAGCCTACATCAAAACGTTACTTTTCTACGTGATCTTCTACTATGATTCCAGATAAAACTCTCAAAGGAAACACTATAGAAGTCAGACACTTTTATTGTATATTTTGTAACATAGTTCAAAGAGGTGTGTCTAGTTGAACACACTGTATACCACGCTGCCTCTCCTTGTGTCCCATGAGTTGTGGGTATCCTGAAACAAATTAAATATGAAATCAATCTGAATGTCAAGGTCGTATCGATTTCGATTTCCGCTTTCCGGCGAAGACCTTTCGGAGTTGGCCATGATCCTTCTCCCAAGGTGGTTGTCCTTGCAGCAGCAGCAGCAGCACGCGAACTAGCTGGCACTATTTATTCTGCTCACCTTTATGGGGCCTAACCGAGTTGCCCAAATGCAGTATAAGAGACCCAGATGTCCCGACTTCGACCACGTGACCCTCATGCCGACCGAACCTTCATCGCCACGTTTCTGTTCCCCGATGTTCATCCAGGTTTTTTTGTTAAAACCCTCGATCCAAAAGAGGGTTTCATGTTGGAGTTATGAAGGCCACCCGTCCATGGTTCATTTTCTCCAACCTCAAGGAGCCCCTCCAGTAGACGCAGGTTTCTAAGTCATCTCGAGCTTGAGATGCATGCTTGAATCCTCCAGCCACCAATTTTGAAGCTGCCCTTCAATGTCGCCGTCTTGTGACCATCTTCCATGTTCAGTTACAGTCGACATCTAGCAGATACCTGCATATTGGATAACTCAGGTTTTTTCAGTATTAAGTCCATTGACTATTAATTTTACATAATTTTTACATATTCACATATCAATCATTATGGAGTTATAACTTTTCACATTTCAACACACAGTATGTTCAAATGAATTTTCAGGGTATAATCAATATCATAAAGCCAATTATAGTCCAGTAACAATCTTTTTCAAAATGGGTTCACTCATAGGGAATTGAACAAAATGTCAATAAAAATTATAAATATAATATCTGATAAAATCAAGAATTGAAAAGTATCCATAATTTTCTACGAATGTATATAATAATATATTGCTAATGTATTTCATGAAAAACATTTTCATCATTAAATTAAAATTTGTATGTATTGTTGAAGTTTCCATGTTTTTACTGATATCTCTCTCTGAAGTCAACCTACAGGTTTCTGATTTTATCCTAGACATTCTATCTATGTTCTAAAATAATCAGTGGCGTCCAGAATAAAATTACAGAAATATATATATATTCTTATAAATTCCACATATTATCTAGTTGAAAGATTTGACTATTGATACATCTGAGGATTAGCAAAGGTATCAACCCTCACCCATATGCCGCCGACGAAAAGCTACCAGGTGCAGTGTAAAAGGTAAAATTTTACGTTACAAACACTTGCGATTTTATTATAGATTTCGGAAGGATGTTTCGCGTGGTATAAAGCCAGGAAAGAACTTGTTTTTCTCTCGTTATCTGCCATTTTTGTTCATTTTATTATCTAATGGAAATTCCGCCAGTGGCGTAAAATTTGGGAAGTATCAACTAGTCACTTGCCCCTGTCGTACGCCTTTGGTGATAGCCAGAAACATTCATTCAACATATTTTTGTAGGTTGTATAGTATCTAAACTTACTATCGAATATAAAAATATTATGTCGAATAGTTTCAAAGGAACGAAAACAAACAATTTTGAAATTTTGGAAAAGAACACCATGTAACCACAGAACTTAAAGATCTGTAACTCATATTTCATCTAGCTAATTTGGGTTAAATCTTCATAATTTGAGCTATTGTCGAAATATCTTCAATTAATTATGATATACTTTGTCGTTTAAATGTCCCAGAAAATCCTCACTGCTGACACCACTGATACGATGAAGTCCAGGTTCGGTTTTTCACGAACAATCGCTTTATTTAAACAGAAACACTACAATACGAGATACAGAATCACAATAATTACGTCTCCCCTCAAAAAACAGCTCCACTTTATTCATCAATTTTCACTCACTCTCTAACTAATACCTCTTTCACTGGGCTAACTGTCGCTATGTATATCTGACCTAAGATAGTTCTTACATTTTTATAACTTTGCGAGATCCTTCGACAATCTTCTTTCATCTTCCACGTGAACTTCCCTGGGCGCTGCGATCCGATAGACCATTCGATTGAGAATTTCACACCTAACATTTTCGACCAATTAAGAGCCTGTATATTGTATCGTAACCATAGCAACTAAACAAAATTCCGGAATGTTTTTTAGTCCTTGAAGAAAGCAGCATGAAATTACATTATAAATGTTTGACGTTTATAGGTGAAATGACATTCACATTCAACTTCGGAATACGTCGAATTCATTCTATAAGTCCCTTATGAATATATTTCTACCAACTTTAGCTGAAAAAATTTGTTAGAAACTGAGAGATTGGGCTACTATCGACGTATTTTCTATTATTTTATGTAACTACAGTCGTTTACTCATATTTCATCCAACACATGATAGTTATGACTGTCATTATTATAATGTCATTTCAGACAAGTAAACTATTGAATGACACACCAATGTTATAATCCATGACTCACTAGTGAGTTATGGATTATTACTCACGTTCATATTTAAAGTAGTATTCTATTTATTCATTACTATTACAAGCAGGATTTACATTGATATTGAAATTAAAGGTAAACGCTAATGGTTTATTCGAATTTGAAGGAATTGTAAAATTCGTTGGTTCATTGGAACCAGATGCTACCATATCGGTACAGCTGCTGATAGTGCTAAAAAACGCCGAGACATTAGAACCTTGTACTTTTCCTGCAATTTGTATTTTGTTATGCACACATTCTTCTAGGTATCCTTCTGCTACCGTCGGGGACTTCCATCCTCCGTGACGCTTCAAAGTGGTTATGTTAGCCCCTGCATTGGCCAAAAGAGTCGTCGAAGACCTTCTCAGGCAAAGCGCTGGTATCTTCGACAACGTATTCATTCCCACACACTGGCTGGTACACCTCCCATTTTTGTAAAAAACAAAAAAGAGGTTAGAACTAGTATTCGTTGGTCTCAAAGACATGTATTGGGGACTGGAAATCCTTCTTCAAGTATGGTGAAACTCCTAGATTTCTTGGTTCTAGTGTCTGGTAAAACTACATGAAAATATATTTCTTTGTCTTGAATATTTTCTTTTTTCAAATTGACCAATTCATCGCTTTTACAAGCAACGCTAATCCCCATTATCAAAGCCACTTTCATCAACAAGTCCTCGTCATCGGGAGCTTCGTTCTCTATTTCAGGTCGTTCTAATGTCTCGGACTTCTTTGGTTTGTATCCCTGAGATTTGCTTTCAAAAAGCTCGTTAGTTTACCATATTTTGAAGTGTCGATTTATAGAGGTGAATAGTCGAGCGAAGCATCGAGTATTTGGTCCATAACGACGATGGGGCCAATTTTTTTGCAAATGTAAAAAATGAGCCAATAGAACGCTTTCATCGATACTTTTTATCTTCTGTGAATTCATCCAAGACTCAACACTCCTTGTCGTGAGCACCTCGGGACTTTTCTGTCAAAATCTGCATCGCTGCTTCTTCCGCTTCTGTAGGGATATCCTCAGGAACGTAACTTTAATCGGTTTCCTCCATTTTCTATACGTTTTATTTTTTTTCAAAAAAGTTTCCTTTTTCTGAGTCAGAGTAAGTGTCAAAATGTATTTGAACATTTGCTAACAATGTATTATGCAGTGGCAACCTAACAAACAACCTACTTTAACCAAAATGTAAAAATGTCACTGTCAAGTAATTCTGACATTTAAAGGGTACTGAGACGCAGGTAGCTTTTATTTGATCACAGAACTTATTGATTGTTATCTCATGAAAAAACAATGTCTTCCACTTGTTGAATAGAACTTGTATGCCACGCTTGTGTTATGTTTCCTGAGTAACTTGAGAATTTATATATAAATATGTCTCGCGTAACTTATTTTCAACATAACACACAAGTACCATGAATAACTTTCAACTAATTTAACCTAATGATAAAACGTGAGCAAATTCCATTGATATCAAATCGTACTTCGAGTTTCTTGTGTAGAAAATATATTTCTACCAGCTTTAGTAAAACCAATTTGTGAAAAACTGAGAAATTGAGCTACCAGCAACATATTTGTTGTTATTTTGTATAACTAAAATAATATCATTCTGTATTATTCAACCTAACAATGTTATGGACATATATCATATACATAGATATTACATACTGTCGAGTTCCTTTTGGGAAAATATATTTCAACCAACTTTAGTGAAATAAGTTTAGTAAAGAATAATGGTTTCAAATACCACCAGTTGCCTTATTGATATTTCGTGTAACTAAAGTCAGAATTTTGTAGAATTTTTTTCAGCGTCATCTTATCCTATATAGTATTCTTTAAAATTTCAGTGTAAATTTTCTTACCGAATACCACTCTTGCCTTGCTTCAATTAAGACATGGAAATGGTTTCTCAGACACGAATGTATAGAAAATCATAGAAAATTCGTGTTCTCGAGAAAAAAAATCGGTAATAATTGGAGCTCCCGTGGTGTTATAAGGGAAAATTAATTCACTTTTTAGAACATTCATAATATAAAAACTTGATCCCAAAAATGTTCTCTTACTATAAATTGATTTCAAGATTTGTGTTATCTATATATATTATTTGCTGAATCATACTTTTCTTATAGTGCTCGATGGCTCCAAGGATACATCCTCGACCGAATCGATAAAGCAATTACTACCATGGACGAAGAAGAAGTTGAAAAGCGCCTGTACCAAGAAAATACTGTACAGGAGGATACCTATACTCGACTGGTTGCCGAGATACAATGCTTCGTGTGTTGTTGGTGATTTTATTGCTGGCATTACTGTAGGACTCACATTGATTCCACAGGTGAGAATTCCACATTCTCTTAGGTATCTGCTCTGGTATTCGCTCGACTTCATAGCCATTTGAATAACAATAGTGCAAAATCAGCAGAAGTAAAAAAGTTGATTATATTCATATTTTTCATCGATCGTGGAAAACTTTCATAGCACGGATATTGCATGAGATAGAGGATATCACGATCTATCTTACTCTTACTCTTACTGTAGGGTGATCCAGGGTAGAAATTTTTTTAGAATTTTTGTTTTCTCCCTCTTCGCTATGAATAAGAATCTTGGTGTCATTTCAATACAATAGGGTGGCTGGAATTCTCGTGAACCGTAAAAGATACAGGGTCGGTTAAAGCATGGCAGAGTTGCGCATTTTTATGACTAACAAAATGCTGTTTTGAAATTTTAAAAACTTGCATACTTCGATACGATTTCATTGTTATTTTTTATGACTCTATTCGAATATATAGATGGAACAAAACAAATTACACATTCTAATTGTTACTTTTTTTGTTCTACTAGATGGGCTACCATTATCTACTTTGTTTTTATAAATACGACCCTGGATTTCTTATGACGGATTTGCAAAGCTTCTAATCCTGGAATCAATGTGTATCGCACTTTTTCGGAAAAAAGTGTGCTCAATAGTCCTCCATTTTTGTTTCAAAATCAGCTCTTGAAGTTGACGTTTCTCTGACTGACACAATAAAATGATTAGTATGTGGTAGCTAGGCAACATTTTTAGTGTCTTTGTGAGCTGAAGTTGGAGTTTAAATCCTAGGAGCTAAAAACGTGCCGGATGTTTCATGCAGATCAAAAGTGACTCAGTTTGACTTGTGTCAAACAAAGTGTCACTTTATTCGATCCTAATGAAACAATGTACTATTGTTTTTGATCCTATTGAAAATCTAGTCTGTGTCTCCTTCTAACACATGAATCTTTAAGCTTTAAGGAGAATGCGATCAATATGCATATTAATAATAATATCAATATAAAAGTGCGATACATCGTTGGTAACACATCCTTCACATCAATACAAAAATCATTTCGTTATATTGCGCCAAAAATATTCAATATCATACCTTCACAATTTGAAAATCGTCCTTACAAGTATAACAAGAAAAAAATAATTTTTTCTGCAACCGACACAAAAGTCGTCCATTTTGATACCAAAATCAGCTCTTAAATTGACGTTTCTATTACTGACACAAAAATAGGTATGTTGCTAGGCAACATATTTAGTTCCTAGGAGCTGAAGTTGAATTTTAGCTCCTAGGAACTAAAAAGGATGTACTGGACGTCATCAAGAATAAACAACATTCGTACGGTTGGTTATTTGGGTTGAGACGCATACCTGATTTGTTTCTGATTTCGGCACATTTGGCATTTCATACCCATGCTGAAGATATAAATACACCTTATTATAGTCAAGTATTGGAATGATAAACATCTCAGTTAAGTATTTTTGTTTCGATCAGGGAAGCCGAAGCCCTCAAGATTCAAATAGATGCTGGATCTGTATTTCAATCGTTATTCTTGGGATGGATAACTTGTTTTTGAATAATCACGTCAAGCAATAGTTTTTTGTCTCAAACAACGATATTGTTTACCTTCATTTGATTATCAAGCGAAAAACATTGTGTTATGGAGAGGATTAAAACGCCTCTTCGTTTGTGCTTGCTCAACCTGCTAAACCTGATTTTTTTCTATGACTTTCTTTGTTTACATCATGGCATGAACAGAGACAACTAGCAATACAAACGAACAGGCCTAAATAATATCTCATATTATTGTTGATATGCTCACTAACACTAACCTAACATTTTCCTCGTCTTATTCCTATAGCTCTGGCACTGGTGCGGTATTTGCCATTAGAGCACCTGGTCCATACACAAATATGTCACTCTGTGATATGAAGATTACTTCTGTTGTTTTCTTTTTCATTAGGAGATTGAAATATCTCAAAATCTATAATGAGAAATCAAGGGCCGTATTGAAAAACGAAGTTCGGAACGTCGTTTTTAAAATCTGATATCATCACCTTATAGAACAGAAAAAGAAGCCATGAGAATGGTTTTTTTTTCATTAGATCTTTATTCAAATAGAGTCGTGAAAAAGGTGAAATGAAATCGCGAATATTTGGTTTGTTCCAAGAATCTTTGGAAGTATTCAGAATTTTTGAAATTACAAAACGGCATCTTGTTAACCTTGAAATTGTGCAACTTTCCCATAATTCAACCGACCCTGTATGTATCTCTTGAGGTTTATGAGATCCCAAAGATGAGCCTCCAATTCCAGTCACCCTGTACATGTAGTACGTAAAATTCTAGATCTTTCAAACAGGGTTTCACTGACTATAGATTGATATTTTTTTTCCTCCAGACTTTAGGTTTCAAGTAGTAGAATTCTAGATGCTGTGACATTTTTAGGCATCTGATTCGTCCTTACTACAATAAGTATATTGAAATAATACTTATATTCCCACTCAGTGATGTGGATAGACCTAACGAAAATTCATAGAAAGAGAATGATGCTTTCGATGTACGAAACCAAGTAATTTCCAACCAAACTATCTATTTCTGAGGAATATTCTGAGACTGGTCGATTTCCAATATCAATTTTCCCTTTCAAATGTGGAACGTGGAATACACAGATTGATTCACGTTTGACGTCCTTGACAATTTTCTCGGATGTTACACCCTATATATTATTACATCAGGCATATATATCAATCTTACCATCATTGGTAATCACCGAACAGAGATTCGTGCGGCCAGGACCGTAATGATTTTTTTATGTTGTATGAAATGTTCAAGTGATAATATCTCTGCTATTTGGCAACTTTTATCGAGGCAATATTTTGTGAATCCGTATATTTCAAGGAATTCTGGATTTTCCCAACATGAAATGGCATACTTCTGGATGATTGAATGTAAATAAAAATACTTCCTTCTTTGTCAAAATAAATTCACACATACACTCAGTATCGAATTTATTACACAGGGGGTCCCTGAAAGGACTGTACAAAATCTTAGAACATAGTTCTGAGTTCAAAACTGAGCCGAATTGAAGCAACTTAACCCAGTTCGAAATTGCTCCGTTTCCAAAATACAGGGTGGTAAATTTAAAAAATAAAAATCGGCAAGCTCACTCCAATAAAGTATTTTGAAGAATCTATCTTTGCACTGCTCATTCACTGACCAAATTACATCGATGAAGATAACAGATAACATTTTTCATTCAAAATGATAAAAATATTCAGGTATTCGAACACTAAAAACCGAAACATCTCGAAAACGGCTCGATTTAGTGAATATTTACATAAGCACCTTTTTTGCTCGAAAATATTCAGGAAAACATTTATCCACCAAAAAATATCAAAAACTATACTGAGAAAAATGTTATGGCCATTCCAAACCATGAGAAGTGCATTTGTGAGCGCCCTCTAATGGCCACAGTTGACGGTATGCGTATTCGGATTTCGCATCCCGAAAAACCCTTGGTTACCAATTATTGAAATAATACTTTCAAAAATATTCATACACAGTTTGAAAAATTAGATTTTTATTTCATCGAATAAAGGACCAGGAGTTAATTGAGCTCTAACTCCAAGAGCAGACTGTAGCATGGTATCGTATACACTATACCAATGAGACGAAACACCACTTCAGAACACTCGATTTATTGCAGTAACACAATTGCGGGACCACAATACACTGTACAATAGTTGCAAAGACGTTAATTATACTTGGTATGATATAATATAGCGAAATGCCACTACATTTGTGTGAATTAGCAGGGACACGGTTTTAGCAAAAATGTGACAATTTCGGACTCAAGTGAGTTACTTGAAATCAGCTTATTTGGACCTCAGGAATATGTGGTGAGATTTTTTACAGACCTTTCAGAGACACCTTGTGAAATAAATATCACTTGCGGAAAAGAATCAAGTTTCCACTCAGTTCGAGTTACAGACATATTTGTAAAATAACTCCTATTGTATGTTTCACATTTTCCAAATGAACAATTCGATGGGGAAGACCACTGATTGTTTGAAACGACATTATCGTAAACTCTATACTGAAAAACTACCAGTGAATTAATTTTGAATTTCTTCATTCATGCTAAGACGATGAAAAAGATAAATTAGTATATGTCCATTTCAGAACACGCAATTCCTGCGCCATTTGAAATTTCATCAATTCATTGGTGTGACTGGTGCGACGTCTCAGTCCCAACACGCCTATTGTCCTTGAACTGACCAATTACACTGCAACACTGCAGAATGACGAGGTATCAGAGAGAGATAGCTACAGTTCGGGACTAATACGTCACGACTCCACCATCATATTTGGCTGTTTGAAATATCGAATGAAATATGCTGATTTCAAAACGATATAGATTCGATTTCCTTCAACTTCAACTCATAATATTGATTGTACATAAAATGTAAATCATGATTCGTTGATTGAAAGAGGTTTGCACGGATTTCTTTCCTCAGTGGTCTTCCCCATTAGGCAAACTATATGGTAATGTGTTGAGTAGTCAGGAATTCCACGAAATACATTTGGTCGTGGGTAATAAGGAAAATATTCAATATCATGATTTATTTTAGGGGTTAGCGTTTCACAGCATCGTCGGCCTACCACCAGAGTACGGTCTGTACAGCTCTTTCATAGGCTCCTTCATCTACATTGTCTTCGGTAGCTGCAAAGACGTTCCCTTCGGCCCTTCTGCCACCAACGCCTTCTTGACGGCCCAGGCTGTCGCAGGAAGAGGTCCAGAACATGTGATTTTATTATCGTTCCTATCAGGAATAGTGCAATTACTGATGGGGTTCTTCGGGTTAGGTGAGTTATGGAGATTGAAAATTTATTCAATCGTTCACGTTTTATAGGCTCTGAGGTCGAACTTGAAATATACAAGCATCTGAAGTGCCCGCTTCACGTGCAATTTTTTGTGATGATGTTCCATCTCTCTACTCTAAAATCGAACGTGTGATTTCAAAAAACGCCTGGTGCGTCTCTTTCTGACTCATACGATAACAAATGGGGCAGAGATAATTGCATATATGGTAGATTTATGTTATTCCGTTAAGTTCAGAGTTTTAATAAAAGTAGCCTTTGCTTTGATAACTTTTCAGAAAACGCGTGTTCCTTGTCAACTGATTTTTAGACAGAAATTATCGACCTATATCGAAGTTTTCCATGTTTATGGAAGATAATTCGTATGGAGTATTCTAACCTGAATTCTAGATAACCCGGTTAGTTTCTTTCTAGGCATCAAGAAAGTTCAATTCACTCTGGCGAAAGAACAATTTTTTCGGACCAATAATTCTTTCCTTTCTGCCTATAATGTTAATTTCTCGAAAACTGACAAAGATAACCTTGATAAATCATGACAATCTTGGAGCATATTTTCCTGTTTGCCCTATTATTAACTATACTATTTGTATGTCTACTTTTCTCATTTCCATAACTATGATACTTTTTATTGGCTGATGATGGGCTTAATTAAGCCCAAAACATGTTCCGTTACGATTGATCATTGATCATTTTAATAAATGTTGGGTTTTCATCTATGAACTACACCACTCCACTGCGTTTAAAGAATTTTCCTATCAGAGAGCATAAAAGAAGAATTCACTAGATTGTCACTGACAATTTGTATTGAGAGAGGTTTAGAGAAGAGAAATAGAGGTATATAATAGACCCTAATAGCACACAACGACCTAGGGACGTCCCTGTTTGGTACAATTCACGTCCGAATGTCCCGAACAAAAAATAAGTGTCCTTGGGACGTCCCATTCCGTACATCTCATGCAATGTCCGAGCAATGACGTCCACGGAATGTCCCAGCTGGTACATCATTTCAAATGTCCTAGAAATGGTATCCCTTAGATATCCCACGTGGTACATATTGTAGAATGCCCATGCAAGGATGTCCTTTGCATGTCCCTGATGGGAAATGATTTTAAACGTTTCTTTAGGGACATCCATCGGATGTCCCGACTAGTACATATACTGGCATGACTTCAGATCTTATTATAACCCACACAGCACATGTTTGTCCAATGTACGTACAATGTACGTCCACGTCGGATCGTAAGGACGTCCAATGGAAGTACTCGAGTGGACGTTTAACATCCTATGGACGTCCACTGGATGTCCTGATGACACCACTTTGGACGTACTGTGGATGTCTTCATGTGGATGTACAGTGGAAGTTCATATTTGGACTCACAATGGATGTACAGGTCTGAGCATCCATTGGACGTACCAAATTGGACGTTAAACGTCCAATGAAAGTCCATTGGATGTCTTGAGGACACCACTTCGGAAGTACATTGGATGTTTACATGTGGGTGTATAATGGATGCTCATCTTTAGGAATCAAATGATGAAAAATCAGTAGGTATCAAATATAGCTTCTTCTATTGAGATATATATTTGGTGTCGATTGCATATATATAAATACATTGTTGATTCATGTCTTCTTCAGTCCATTTCAAATTCTTGTTCCTGTAGTAAAAGAGAAATATTATATGTTGCTATATAGGTAGAAATCGATTGTCTATACCTCAAATCCTGTTCAGCTTAACTCTGACTGGTGAATGAAGCCTTATTCACATTATTGCTATATACTCAGGTACTTTTTCTATCAAACCGCCCATTAAAAATGAATAACAACCTGTAGGATGATAAAGCATAAGATTTATAACTATATTAGATAATATATGAAGTCACATTCGAACATGCATGCTCTCATACCTACTTTGAATGATCTGGTTCTGAATATTCTGCATTCTACAATTCATCACAAACACAACATTTCATGTTCACGGTCATTTACCAACTGAAAATGGCATCAGAATCAAAGCAGACGCTACCGCTACTCTACCGACCGATCTGACCTTCTGCCTCCCCTCCACGTGGATGAAAAATCAATAGTCTCACGTCCATCTCTGAACGTACAATGTACGTTCATTTAACGTCCATAAACCTCCAGATTCAAAATGATTTCATGCAGACATTTACTTTGAACAATTATTTATATACATATAAATATAATGTTCATTCTTCATCCATTAACGCTTGAACTCAGAATGGCCATAAATGGACATCCAATGTAAGTTTAATTTGAATCATCCAATGTACGTTCGTCTCTGTACGTACAATGGATGTTGATCAAACTTCCACGAGTGTTTCAGTCCTTGAGTTGACATAAAATGGATGTCCAACGGACGGTAATTTTGAAACATACATTGTACATCCATCTTTATAAGTACAATGAATGTACATTCTACGTACATGCGTGATTGGACATTGAGTGGACGCCCACTGTACATTCAATTTGAAGCATCTAATGATAATCCATGTTTGTACGTACATTGGATGTCCATTCAATGTCCATGGACGTTTGGAATTGAAATGAACCTAAAATGGACGTCCAATGGATGTCATGTGCTGTATGGGAATGTCCCTCCTAGACAACCATGAAATGATCCTGCTGCAAAGGCGCCCTTATTATTTCCAGGATCGTATAACAATCGAAATGTCCCTTAGGGACGTCCTTCGAATGTCCGTCGGATGTCCCAATTGGTACATAAACTGTACTCTTTCAATGTCCTAGAAATAACGTCCTATGGACGTCCTAGTCGGTACTTTCAATATGTTGTCCCTGCGAGGACGTTAATTTACACCTCGCCGACGAATGATTGCTCGTAGGCTATAAGTACTCCTCGTCAATGTCCTTCACGTAAGTCCATTGGACATCCTTGGGAAACTTTTTGGGACCTTCTACGGACCATCAACTCAACTAGATGTCCTAATCAGTTATGCAAGATCTGGTCCTAAAGGGACCTAGACAATAAATTCAAATTCAAGAATAATTCGTACGTCCCTGGGACATCCAATGGACATCCAATTGATATCCCTCAGCGTTGCTGATAGGTTGTCCTATGGATGTCCTAAGGACGTCCTCTGTAGTGCTTGATGAGGAAAACTGTAGGATTTAGGTATTCGATAGTTGTCCCAGGGACGTCCCTCAAGGACGTCCCTAGTTGGTCCCCAAGTCGGACATTTGTGCGTCTCACAGACGTCCAATGGATGTCCACGGTACCAAATTCGAACGTCCTATGGACGTCCTGAAATTCCCGACAGGACGTCCTAAGGATATCCATGGGACATAAGTATGTTATTAGGGGAAGAAATATCAAACCTTCACTTAGCTTTGGACGTTTCGGAAACGAATCTGCTCCCGTTTTCAACATAAAAAATGAATATTTGTATAGCAAATTCGTGTTCGTCTTGACACTTCTCAGTTCTCAGTGTCAATTGGTGACGTTGGCAATCAAATGAGTTACAGGATGTTTCCATTAATTAATCTAGAATTTATCATTTTTATTTTTAGATTTCAGTAGTGAATACCATGTTCTATCGAATTTCCTATACAAATATTCATTTTTTATGTTGAAAACGAGATCAGATTCGTTCCCAAAACGTCCAAAGCTGAGTGAAAATTCGATATTTTCCCTATATATCTTCATTTCTCTTCTCCAAACCTCTTGCAATACAAATTGTCACTGAATAGCTAGTGAATTTTCCCTTTAGGCTCTCTGATAGGAAAATTCTCTAAACGCAGTATTATTTTGGGGCAAGTCATCTGATTTTGAAGAGTTTCCATGAAATATCTGTCAATCGTCAATCTGATGCTTTGAATTACTAGAATTCAAATTTTGTCGAAACCATGAGTGATCGAATTTTATTTGGAGGTCTTTTTTTGTAGTAAACAAGTTACGATATTCAAATTTCATATCCAAACCCCTCTCTTTCCATTGGCGTAAAAGTTTCAGAGATGTTTATCCACAAAAAAAATCGAGTTCTACACCCATGGAATGATAGTCAACGCACCAAATTTGAATAAAATCTCATGAGCAGTTTTGAAGTTATGAAGCAAAATCGATTCGAAAATTGTATCTTTGTACTGAGGTGAGTTTTTGTAAAGACCTTCTAGGCACACCCTGTTCGTTTCAGAGCTTTCGAAAGTATTGGTGAATGGTAAATTAGACAAATCAAACGAGTGAAAAGAATAAACGAGTGTGGCAACTACGACCAGCATACGTCTCAACGCCCAAGTGCTGTAACATACGTTCACCTCACATATCAACGAACTTCACATCAGCTCTATAGGAAATTATATTCTCTTTCAATATGTGCCTGTTGTGTTTTCTCGAGACATAAGTACTCAGATTATGAATAATTATCTACGAAAAAACGACCAAGAATGATATTTTTTGCTGAGTACGCAAATTTGATCAGTACTTTACTTGCACTAGCTCCTTACTGGCTAATCAATCCTACATCCAGAAGCAAGATTAATTTATCTAATGTACTATAGTTTGCCAATGTCTGACTCACCTAGAACAGGTTAACCTCAGGCCTGCTAAGGTGGAAAATGTAACCATCAAGGAAATCCTAGGTTACATCAGAAGTCTAAGGTTATATAAAACGATTAGATGAGGGTAATTCTCACATTCTACAATGCAATCATCGCTAAATCATTGTTTGAGGGTTGGTATCCTGAAGGATCCGATTCTGGAGATCGTGATGATGCAGGTGAAGCAGATCGTGTTCACTCCAGAGTACCTTAATCGTCTATCCTCTATCTACTTTTGCAAATCAAGAATCGAGGTACACGCTGAAAAAAGCAATAACTCACATAACCAGGCCTCTTCCACATCAGGCAGTGTGATTTGTCACTTCTAGAAATGCGTAGATTATGAATTACCTACGAGAACCGACGCAGAACACTATTTTTTGCAAATTTGGTATATTATTAACTTGCTCCTCACCTGTTAGTCCTACTTTCATGAGCAAGAACAGTTATATATAGAAAGTTTGATCTGCTACAACTTTTTACAGAGTGGTATTTTCGCTAAAATGTATAGTCTACGAGTTTTTTTTTATTGCTTGGAGCGCACGAAAGGGAATCCCTATAATGTTCAGAAAACATCGTGCGTTCCTAAGGAGGATAGGGATAGGAGGTAGGTATTGAAATTTTTCTTGAACTTCTGGAGATTATATGTTGTTGAGAATACTTCCTCAGGCAATGAATTCCAGAGCCTAGCCGTTTTATGGATGATGGAGTTTTGATAAAGTGCTGTTCGACATCTTTCGAGGTTGACAACGAAAGGATGTACTGACTGGGCTTGTCTAGTTCGTCTGACTGGTATTGCTAGTGAAGGAATGATAGCAGAGATTTCCGAGGAACATTTCCCGTGGAAGTATCGGTAGAAAAGTGAAAGGTCGCCGACCTTCCTACGGTGTTCCAATGATGTCAAGGAGTGAGTGAGTGTGGCGTCACCCACCAGGCGGATGGCTCTTCTCTGGATGGAATCTAAGAGCATCAGCGTATGTTTTGGTGCTGAACCCCATATGTGGAAACAGTATTCTAGAACAGGCCGTATCTGCGCTTTGTAGATCATAAGAAGCTGTTGAGGTGTAGAGTAGCTTTTCGCACGGAACAAGAATCCCAGTTTTCGTGAAGCAGCTTTTGCGATGGATCTGACATGATTATCCCATGAAAGAGTGTTGCTGATGGAAATACCGAGCATAGATATGGTGGGCTTGGTGAGGATGGTGGTGCCAGACATTAAAATGTCGGGCATACTGAGTTCCACCTTCCTAGAGAAAATACAGGCTTGAGTTTTGGTGGCGTTGAATTCGACTAGGTTGTTGGTTCCCCAGGCTGTGATTTCAGCAAGGTCTTCATTGACAGCATTGACCTGCCTGCGCCGTGAGTTCTTAGTTTCCTGGGAAGAAATGGGAATTCTGGAAGAGAACGCAGTATGGAGGGTACTATCATCTGCAAAACTGTGGATGGGGCAAGTTGTTACTCCCAACAGATCATTGATATGAAGAAGTTACGGGTAAAAAACTTAAAAAAGTGCGAAACTTTCGCTGTTTTTTGCGAAAATCACGGAACGCATCAGGAAATTTTGTTTGTGAACTTGAGATTCAGCACCCCCCAAAAACATTAAAAAACGCAGAGAAACCTACTAATTGAATTTTTTCCACTAGAGGATCTTCATCGTTACCATTTTACTGAGCTAGTAGAGGCGTCTGTCACTGTTAGGCTGTCCCTTTTTATTTGTGGTCAGGCTAGTGATTTCAAGTTTTCTTTTATTACTTGCGGTTAATAATGATATATTATACCACTAGGGTGAAAATAAGTGCATAGCACGCCGTTTCATTCTTTTTTTCGACATGGCCTCAGTGTCCCATTTTAATGCTACCTACTAAGTTATTGATCTTACAAAATCCTTTTTTGTCGTGATACAGTTACATATTAGAAAGGATTTATCAATGTCATCGATCTTGTGCTATGTATTCCCCAGAAATTATACTGATCGATGAGTCAATGCCTAATTATATTATGAAATTATCACTACGCTTGTCAATAGTCAAATTAGTTCGGCTTCTGAAACAAATGGTGGCGCTGGTAGCATGGTTTTGGACGTCACTGTGGAACATTTGTTTCTATTTGTAGATTTTCTTTCTGTTTGTCTCGTACAAGTAAGTCGCCGGCGATTTCAAGATAGCGAATATGGCAAACTCTTCGATTGAATGAAGAATTACACTATTTTTATTCGACCTGGCGAACCCTTGTTATAAGAATATCAGAAAAAAGTAATAATGTGAAAAACTGATAAGGGTGAAATTGAGAGAAATCACTAATGCGGTAATTTCCCTGAATTTATTTCTATATCCAAACAATACCTGGTATATCTACAAACCTTGGGACATTCTGCTTTGGTTTCGACAGATCTGTATTGAAAAAAAACGAAAAATTATCCCTTTCGCATTTAAAAGCCGCAATTCATGAGCTGATTTAACACGTACGAGAAAAATGTAACGAAACATTATATATAGAATCTCTCGTTTCCAATATTTTGTATACCTACAAAAACTAATTTTCACTCATTTTTCACCTCCAGGATTCATCATCGATTTTGTTTCTGGACCTGTATCATCAGGGTTCACATCAGCAGTATCTTTAATAATCGTTACCTCTCAAATGAAGGATATTCTGGGAATCACAGCTTCTGGAGACACATTCATAACTGCATGGAAGAGCATAATTTCGGAAATACACAATACGAATTTATGGGATGCTGTCATGGGATTTTCGTGTATTTTCTTACTGTTAGTCATGAGGGTAAGTTGAGTAGGTACCCATGTATAATAGTCGAGAAATTGCTCGATTTCGAACTTTATGATTCGTGTAATGTTATTTGTTAATAGTTCAACAGGAGCCCGCCCATATGTAATTATCACAGGATTGATTCCAAGTTTAATATCGCAAAAAGTTTTTTCATTTGAGTTTTGTGATTTTCACAAGAAATAATTGGAATCCACAAATTTTAAAACTCCGAAGACGCAGGAGCTGAGAATATTAAATTTTCACCATTAGTATTCATATGTATCATGATAAATATTTTTATTAGTATCATTATCACTCAAAATCCCCCTAGGGAATCAATTATTGCCGGAAATTGTTTGGGTTCATGCATTTTTTGAGGATTATCACCTTACTAGAAACTAAAAATATTGTCATATATAATACCACAAGTGATAATATTTTTTTCTACAAGCGTGCGTGATTCACCCTATACCCGCACGCAATCCAGTTTGGGAAGTGTCATTTTCCCGCAACAGTGCAGGAAAATTTTCCCACACTAGTGCGGGAAATTTTTTCCCGCACTAGGGCGGGAAAACAAAGATATGATAAAATCGCTAGTATAATATAAGTGGTTGGTGATCGAATATAAAAGTTTAAGTTTGTTTGTTGCAGTATTAAGTATGTATGTTCAGAATCATCCATCAAATTGCACTATTTATTGTAAAAATTAAGAAATATTGAGAAATAAAAATTGATTATTATAAAAATCACACTATAGATTTGGATTGATCTGACGGGAAACGTCAATTTGTCATGCCAATCAAACCTCAAATAAGTTTGAAATTATTGTCGAAGTGACAGACACAGCGTTACTGTCATTTTCGATTCAGTGGAAATGCCACAATGTGATCAAAAACTTCTAGCTATAGGAATTTGATACAGATGCGTTATCACCAACGAAGTCTTAAGAAAGGTATGAGCAGCTATACACGCGTTTTATTGAATGGTGCAACAATAAAGAAATGAAAAAACCGAATGAAGAATAGGTATTTTTGGCTCATTTCATAGAAGTGTCTGGAACCTAGAGACCAAACTCCTAATGGGCCTGCTGGCTTCCGCAATGAACCAACATAATGCGTCAAACTGTAAGTTCACGATAGCTATTACTAATAATTAATAGATAGAGAATATGTATCTCTTGTTAGTTGTTCCTATTTGCTTGAATAATTAATTGAACGATTCAATCAATTTCCTACGCTTGTAGAAAAAATATTATTCCTAACTCATGCGGAAAGTGTCTTTCCCGCACTCGACTGCTTGCCCGAACTCCGCTTCGCGTCGTTCGTGTCAACGGCAGTCACGTGCGGGAAAGAATCACTTTCCGCACTTGTTAGGAAAATTACTATTCCGGAAATATTCGGTGATTGTTACGACAGCTTGTTGCCTAGTAATTTCGTGAATGACATTGTTATCAAAACTACGAGCCGTAGGCGAGTAGTTTTGGATCAACGTCATGAGCGAAATTAGAGCAGTAAGCTGGAGTATGTCAATCGACGAATATTTCTAGGAAAAATAGTATCACGAGTTGTATTCGTATGACTATTTCATGATTGAATGAGACGATATATATAAGAAATAGGAAACATGATTAAAGTATATTCCAACTCGAACTGCGAAGAAGAACATAATGATAGTAATGAAATACAGAATTTACTTTTTTAGAAATTATAACTACCTACTTATAGTTATTCACAAAGTGTAATGTACAATTTTGATAAACAGTATTTTTTTTATTATCTTGGAGATGGTTTCTCTCAAATGAGTCTATACAATTGCTATCCAATTCGAACAAAATAAATTGAATGTATGTGACATGAAATAATAAAAAAAAGAAAGTTACCTGTCGCCGAGGGCTTGAACCACCGACCTTCGTATCCTCGCGCAACAACCCTAACAGTTGCGCTACATCAGCTAGTAATTATTTCAGTCAGTCACAATAACTTAAGTAATTGAAGAAGATTACTTTAAAAAGGAATTTGAATTCTATTATTGTTGTGTCAGACCGTCAACAAATATGCAAAACTTTTTAAATTACACATGAAACGTCCAGCCAGAATAAAATTGTCTCGCCTTTCGTACAAAATATCTCACTAACGCGAATTATAAGTAAATAAAATAAAGTAGGAACTAAGGTTATTATCACAGATTTGGATCCAAAGCAATCTTGACCAGACACGATGTCAAAATTTTATCGCTGATAAACGAGGTTTGTTGGTCACGTGTTGGTCAATTCGGCTTCTGTATTGGTAGAGCAAGTCCGATAAAATTTAATGAACAAAAAATATCGCTGGAATACAGAAGAAACCGTGAAAATGGTCGATTCTGATTGGTTCTCGAGATCAAGAGTGGAATAGTCAAAAATATTTTTTCTGTGACGGGAAAAAAGTTTGGCATTTCATCTCTATTGGCAGGTTGTAAAATGTCACTTTTCATAAATTACTTTTTTCCTGTGGGGAAAAAGTGAGTAATTTTTTCCCGGATATACAGGGTGATTCAAAAGTAAGCGGCATCCTTTCAGGGGTGTATTCCTTGCATAAAAATGAGGCAAAAAGTTCCTATTAATAAGGGTTCGAAAATGCTTCCTAAGGGTGTTACGCCCCTGCTTAGAATAGGACATCTCAAAAACGATTTTTCATCTATAACTTCAAAATCCTTCACAATAAATCCTCGAAAATTGGTGTATGGCATACACATTTGATGGTTAATGAGACTCTGAATTCAAAATTGGAAAATTGTTTATTCAGGGGCGTCACATGTGGGGGAGGGTAAGTGTAAAAACATCCCTTCTTCTTTTGATATTCAGGGTATTGTGAATTCGTTTTAAAATTATTAAATTGTAGAGTTTTTCACGTAAAAAAGGTTCTTCTAAATAGTTCATTCCGACAGAGCGTACCATTTAGGAGAAAATCGAATTCTAAAACTTTATGATTTGCGTAAATCACAATAACTTGAATATCAAAAGAAGAAGGGATGTTTTTACACTTACCCTTCCCCGCATGTGACACCCCAAAAAAAATTTGAAATCTTGAATCCAGAGTCTTATTCATCGAATGTTTATGCCGTATACCAGTTTTCAAAAATTTATTGTGGGGGATTTCAAGGTTATAGAGAAAAAATCGTCTATCGAGGTGTCCTATTCAATGGGGCGTAGCTCCCTTAGGAATCATTTTCGGACCCTTATTAATAGGAACTTTTTGCTTCATTTTCATCCAAGGAATATGCCCCTGGAAAGATGCCGCTTACTTTTGAATCACCCTGTATATCACATATATATATATATACACTGTTGATGGCTTTTGTTGTGCTATAGTTCCGAAAAATGAGTCAATAATATCGTCTTCCATTCGACTTCGCGGTTACGTATATCACTAAACAACCACTAAATTCGCAATTTTTTGAAATCAAATCACAGAATCAGACTGACAGAAGTGAGATCAGATATTTGATTACTTCAAAAGAATGATAAAGATGCCTACAACGCAGGTGTCCCTAGTTAAAAACTTAAAATTTCACGTCGATAATTTTCAGATTTCAAAATGATTAGATTTTAGGCTCACGGTATTTTTTCCCTTGTATAATAAATAACTATTCAATTCTCTCTGCTTATATGATAGCTGTCATGTGCCACAAAAAGGCCACTTGTTGATTCTATATGTCCAAATTATTATGTTGATTGAAAAATCACCAAAACATTTGATGGTTACCATAGTAACAAAGTCTAAATAATGCATCTAATGGGTCGAAAATTACTAGTATGAAATTTTCATTATAATGAAAATGTCATACCATGTTATAACATCATAATGGTAACAATGAAAACCATGACAAAACCTACTAGCGTCTATCTTCATTATATAATAGTGTCTGCTGTGACTAGCTCTCGCATGATACAAAGGGTGTTTTCGAAATTGGGGCGATAAATACAATGGAGTTCTAAATAAGAAATAATGAGACGATAATCACATGCACAAAGCAAATCATTCGAAATTGAAAAACTGTTCGCCAAAATATAGATCTTTCAACTATTATTGGACGTTCGGTCATTTTGCAGAAGCCATTGATGATTTCTGTGATTTATAAATGTTTCAGGCGAACTTTAAGGTTCAATATCTTCCACAACATATTTTTCAATGAAAATGAAATCTTCCTTTCCGATTTGTTTATTTTTTCGTTTCCTATTCCAATTTCTTTGATGACTTCACTTTTGACAACACCCAAACTGGGTGAAAGATATAATGACTCCAATCAGAATTATTGCTATGACCTTGGAATACAGTCGCACTTTTATGGTTGAAATCTCATTGGACGTTGAGCCTTGCAGGCAGGTGAATCACCTTTCAGACGTTATCAGTGGCTAACCTTTTGGAAGAATACCGACTTCTATTTCGGAAAGAATCTTCTGTTGCATGAAAGAAACAGTTCCATCAGTAGTGCTAGTGCGCCTATATAGCCCACTCAGATCCTATATTCCCCAAGCTATAAACCTACAAACGCACTACCTGCTCAACCTGACATGAGGCGTTTTCGGAAACTTACTCGGGTTGATCGGATCCCTAACCTGAACGTTCGCTTACCTAAACCATCGAATATCAACTTCTGAAAGTTGATATTCGATGCCTAAACCGAATCACCTACCTCTGTTCGGAAACTCGACTGTTCTTACTCGATCACTGACTAGGGTTGATTTTTCGTGACACTACTCAAAAGCAGGGTCGTCATTTCAATCGAAAAACGCGGGAGTTTACCACTCCATGTAACGGGTGTTCTTCAATAAAATTACATTAAATATATTACCCAAATATTTATGAAGAAAGTGTAATTGAGAGATCGAATGAGGTACCTAATTCTTGGCCAGAGTGATAGCCGGTAAGCTCAGTAGAGATGGTGTGGGTACACAACCATAATAAGCACAAAAAAATTAAAGATATAGAAAATAATAGGGCGCCACCCGTTTCAATTCTACTCTCACTCTGTGT